TTCTGTAAAATAAAATAAAAACACCTACTATTTATACCTGAACTGCCTCAAAGGGTTGTCAAAAAATGAAAACAGTAATAGCAATTAAGTGTTGGTAAAAGGGAAACCCTTTATTTCCTTTTTCAGTCGGCTGTGGCTAAGAATCAATTTTTGATAGCTTACAGTCCCTTGCTTGTCCATTTTTGCGGAGGTCTGCAGAACTCGTGCCTGACACAGAATATTTAGTTTTATAAAAGGGGGAAAAAAGTTTTTTGTTGATAAAATGTATTTTACTTCAGAATTGAATATTATTTTGAGATGCTGACATTGGTTCCACAAATCAAAAAAAAATCTCTTGCTTCTTCACAGAACTGCAATCAGCAGCTTTTGCCTGTTTTAGAGTAGTGTAGTGTATTTAGTGTTTTAATTGGGACAACTTTCCCAAGCCTAATATTAATTTTAGTAACATGTATTCTAGCATGAATCTAAATTTTATGCTTCAAGCACACATGACCACATAATCACCAGAAAAGTGCCAACTAGGAAGAGAGAATGTCGAACTTAAGGCTGAACAACCAATGAGTGGAGTTAAACAGCGCAATACAGTTACATGCTCTGCTCCTGCGGAGGAGCTGCAAAAGCATAAGATTTATTGTAAGTATTGTGAATTATAAACATGTTATTAACATCAAAATAATGGTAGGGACAAGTAGGTTGGTCAAAAAATTGGTAGGGACATTTCCCTATGGTCCCTATGCAAACCTATGCCCATGGTTTGTCATATGTTTTGCTTCTACTGTGTAACGTTTATAAGAATTTGCAGTGAAGATGTGTTTGAGTTCCACCCTTGTTTCACTAAACTACTAAGCATGACTGTGCTTGGCTTACAGTAATTCTCTTCCCTGCCCGCTTCTGGTTTCCTGTGATTTCAAGCTGCTCTATTTCACTTGTGATGAAATCACAGATGGTGTTGAAATGTTACTCTTCATTAATTTTGAATTTGGGGATTATATTATTGGATTTTCTGGCCATTTCCAAAATGTCTATATTTTACAAAAGCTTTAAAAGTGTTCCCAACCTGGAAGGACATAGACTGATGCTGGCTGAAGTCAAAGACAAATGTCTGATTTTCACAATATGTCTCCACTACCTTACACCTCAGTTCTTTAGTGCCTTGCGGAATTCCCTTGCATGGTGTACAATTTAAGACAAGTAGAAGTACAGCCTTCTTGGCATTGCTCTGGAATAAGATGACTGCTGTTTAATTTTATTACGAAGTGTATTTTGTTTTCGGTCTATTGCTTGAGAGGCATTTTTTTTTTTTTTAGAATTGGTTTGTTCTTTCAGGTTGAAAGAACCTGTCCAAGCCTGAAGGGACAGTGGAGAGGAAAAACTCCCCATTGGGAAGAAACCTCTGATAGAACCAGGCTCAACATGGTGGTCTTCTGCCGGACCGGTTGAAGTGAGACAGTGAATGCAGTAAGAGTCCAGGAGGAATGACACTCTGACGAAGCTTGGCTATGATGGTGGAGGAGGGGATGGAGATGGGTTGAAACGGGTTCATCTGAATCGAAGTCCGACATAGCTTGACCACTGCCTGCACTTAGTGTAGCAGACTAAGTTGTGGATTGGAGACCTTTTAAGATTAACTCTTATTTGGCTTACGTGGAGGTGTGTTTCAAAGCTGGTTAGCTGGTGTCGGAGGTGAATGAAGGCAAGTAATCATTTCATTCTATTGACCTCTGCCAATGCTCCATTATAATGCAAGAGGTGTCTTGACACACTAGGCAGCCTTCTTTGTTAAACAGACCTTTACATCTTATTGAGGATTTATTTGGTTAAAGATGGGTTATTGTTTTCTGATCCCTCTTCCTGTTTCCCTTCATTCTTTGTTACACCTACAGTATATTAATGCAGAAGCCTCTTGGATGAGAGGTGAAGCGTCTTCTAGAAAACGTTACGTCCAGTTGCCTAAACTGAACCCTTCAAGCCTGACCATAACCTCGATGACTGAGAATCTTCAAAAATATAAATAAAATTAAACCCACATTTGTATTTAAAACTAATTATTTCTTTGCATATAGTGCCTTAACCTCAGTATTATTGTTATGGGTATATTTAACTTTTAATGTAGTTTTCTTTACTTGGATTCCTTTATTTAAATAAAGCAATACCTTTAGCATTATTTTTCAAAAAGCAATGTTTAACATCTTTTACACAAGATTTTTTTTTATTATTTGATTTACTTATTAAAAAGAAATCTCTTGGAACAATTCAAAATCATTACATCTCAGAGTTGCATGTTAAGTGTGAATGACACCAGTATGTGAAATATTTATTTTCTCGCAGATCCAGTGTTTTAATTCAGTTTTGCTGTGCATCCAAAGAAACTGCTGATCAATATATGCTTTGGACCCAGCCTCAGCCGTTGTACTTACTCCATTTTTCCAGAACCTGCAAAGAATCAACATATCACCATCAGCCAAAGCCAGAAAACATAAGAATGTGCTTAAAAAAAAGATAGTTTGTGTTCAACACCTTAGTTTTGAGGCAGTGTCAGATTTCTATAAAACAAATGTATTTTTCTTTAAATGCCATTATTAATTATTCTAATGATCCTAATAGATCAAATGAGTAGCAGTTATAAAAACATTTAGAATCATAGTAATCCAATCCAGATTTATTTATATAGCAACAAAGATTCAAAGTGCTTCACTGAGTAAATGTAATCATTGAAATAATAAGATAACATCACACAAAGACCAACAATAGCATGTTCATGAAATGGAAATATCATGAGAGCTGTACAAAACAAAAATTCATTTTGTATACACTCTGTGTTTACAACACGACAATAAAAGTTGTCTAAGTCTGATTTCAAGTCTACATATTACACGTGTATATTACATACAGTATATAATATTACAGCAGAAATGTAAAAGAATATCAACTCTAAGTTGTTTTTATTAGTATTGCTACAGGCCTTCTGAGGAGGTTCCAGCCAACTGCAGGTTTTTGTGACCCTTTAAACTTTATATTCAAACTTACCATCAAGCCTCTATTCTAAATATAATGACTTAGCTGCATTCTGTTTCAGACGGTTGGAACTGATGCAGTATGTAATGATATTTGCAGGGTGACATGTTCAGTTTTTTTTCCAATGTCTGCATGTATCAGTTAACCATAACTTTTATCAAAATATCAACAAAACAATCTGAACCTGCTCACTTATATTCTAGTTCTGATCCATCCACCCATTGCCATTTCCATTTCTTCGCTCCCCGTCCCCCTGTGTTGTTTACTGATTGAAGACCAATCCAGGAATCTCCATGTAACTTCATCCTTCTGAGAATATCCTACATGAATTGTGAAAAGCAAATATTCATTTATTTCCTTTTTGTCAAAATGATGATTACATTATCTGAAATATCTAATATATAAAGCAAATCTAAAAAATGCTCTAATGTTTAGAAGATAAAACATTTCTATATTAAGAGGTGAAAGAAAAACGTTTATAATGAATTTTTTGTAGACAGTAAAAATAATAAAACTGAGAGTCATAAGTATTTCATTAAGAGACAAAACTAGAAAATTTAGAATATATATTTTTGACAAATTAAATTACTAAATATTAGCAGATAGTGGACCTAGACTGGCAGCTAAAAAGATAAACATCTCTATAAAACCACTACACTATAAACATCAACAGTAAACAGAGATTATTAAAATAGTTTAATAATTTGCAAACAGAAAATTCTGTTGCTATAAAATATTATACACATGGAAATTATTAAAAACTTATTGATCTTATATCTTAATCCTACAGCTCACATATGTAATAAGCACCTTAATAATAAAATTTGTCCAAATCACATGCAAAAAGTTACCCCTTAATCAGCAAATAGAGATAAACACTGAATGGAAAAATGTTAACCCATCTGTTCTAAATACTCAAGAAAGTATTCAAAATATTTTAACAAACCCTGAGTGGTTGATCTTTAAAGATTCCAAATGAGGAGCACTAAATCACACATGCTGTTATTTTTTTAACTTACAACAGGTGGGCATATTATTAGACTGTTAGGACGTGCAAACCGGTTTGGTTCTGCCCTGTTGAAATGAGCAGATTACCTGTGATACCGGTAGTTTGATAATAGCTGGAAAGGAAAGATAAAGTTCTAAACCATGATCATAATAATTACTTTAAAAATTATGAGGATAAAAATAACTTTATTATTATTGTTACGTATTAAAGTTCTAAACTGAAATACTCCAGATCACTAGAGGGAGTACCATAAAGAACAAAGCATGTCAGAATAGACCCTCTCTGTACAAACAGGAAATTAAGCTGCAATGCAGGAAAAAGACTGGAGATGTTTGTTTTCCTTAATTTCTATCTCATAGTCCCATTGCATTACAGAAGATACATATACATATATACATATATATATATATATACATATATTTATATGCATATATATACACATACACTGTGGTCCATTCTCGTTTTTTTTTTTTTTTTTCAACTTCCTCTATTGGTCTGGAGCACATTTGTTTTTTTGGAGCGAGTTTTCTGCTGTTTTTACAATTTGCATTATTTTCTTTCCAGGATTTCAGCATTTAGTGTGTGGTTGCAGGTTGTTTATTCGCATCATTTTTGCTGATTTTAGGTTTATGCTTCTATTTCAGAGATTGTAGCATTTTTTTTTTTTAGTTTGTTGCATATTTGTAGGCCCTTTATAAATGATCATTTTCGTTTATTGACTGGGAAAAACAATCAAATAATCTAAACTCAGTTGAAAATAACACGTCTTTGATCGTTGATTTAACTTACACTTTAACACAATAATCTTTCAACAATCAAACCTGTTTTTCTTTGATGTTTATTATCACCAGATCTCCTCCTCTCCTCTGACAGTCTTTCCTGCTTTCTGTCCAGTTTTTCTTCTCAGTGGATGTATAGAAAAGACGTGACGTACGAATCTCCTGCCAGTCTGCAAGAAGGGACTCATTGTTAATATCAATAGATCATACACTATACTGAATATCATTTAATACTTCCTTAAATAGAAAGTAACACTGATGATTAAAAACAAGATTAAGATAAATGTTATGCTCTGCCATTCTGGTTACTTACTTCACATCTTTTCCAATATTGTTTTGTAAACAATAAAAAAAAGTAAATTCCTTTATTGTCCCAAAATTGGGAAATGTACTCTCTGGATTTAACCCATCCCCTTGGGGAGCAGTGGGCTGCCATTGTGCGGCGTACTTGCAACCTTCTCAAAGCACAGGCACACTGCTCTAACCACTAGGCCAACACTCCCCCTTTCAACCTGATTAATAGATCTACATAAAATCAGAAATTAAATGTAATCTCCTGCCAGCCTCCAAGAAGTGACTAATCATGTTTGGTTAGTATGTTAAATGATTGATATTATTTCATAACACTCTAATTATATAAGGGGGATCATTTTCTCACCTGAGGGGTTTTCAAAACAGGTTTTTTGAGGTTCCTCAATATCTGAAAGACCTACAGTAAAAAAAAAAATCAAAGACAGGAAAATAAGTTTCAAATTGTGTTTTTCTTAACAGGATACGGAAATTCATAAAATAAGATCAGAATTCAGCATTCTTACAGGTTTTGAGTCGAACCCCGATGTCCACTAACCCCACTACACTCAACAGAGCCATCATTATGATGATTAAGCTGTAGGGTTTTGTTTGAACAGCTGGAGGACGACATCTGGTGTCTGCTCCTTTAAATGATCCAATAGACACAGTTAGTTTAGTGTTTTACTTACTTTACAAAAAAAAGTCCTTGTTAAGCATTTACACATTACAGTTTTAATAGTAAACAAAACAATTCTTATTTACAGTGCACAAAAGATTGAAATGTAAATAAGTATTTTTTTAAATAAGTGCATTTTTGTTCTTGAATCGAGGAGGTAAGTGAGACACTTTGCTAATGGAACAAGAAATTTATATTAAAACAAAACAATTGCATTTTCTTATTTTATAATTTTACTTTAAGATGCTGGAGAAGGTTCTCAGTCATCCAGGTCATAGTCGTTCCAAAAAAAAGGAAAAAAAAAACAATCTACTGGACTTTGTTTCGAAGTTTAAAGACGTTTCGCTTCCCATCCAGGAAACTTTTTTAATTCAAAAGCTATCCTTTCCCGTTATTATCGCAACCTGACAGCTTTACAGGGGAAGAGAAGACCTCACCTATTCAGCCAGGCCAACAATTCCCTTTAACAACCCCACTTTCAGAGACATAGACAGGTACGGGGCATTTCAGGCTAACCAAAGAAGCAAACGACCCTCATTCCAAAGGGGTGGACCCTTCATCTGTTTCAATTTGCATGTTTTCAAAACAAAAACAAGGCTTTGTTGGGCTACTGTATAAAACCTCCAACTCAACGCTATTTCTGACATTTTGAATTGAAAAAGCTTCTTGGATGGGAAGCGAAAACATCTTCAAACTTGGAAACAGAGTCAAGTGGATTGTTTTAATTTTCCTTTTTTGCGACTTTAAAAGTAAAAAATACTCACTTCATTGTCAAGTCATCTCATAAACCTACTCAAATTAAGGGTAAATACACTTTATTTAAGAAAATATTTCTAGATCATTTTTCCAGAGTATGTGTCAGCTTCAATTTTATTATTCATAATCGTTATTCTACTGCACAGGAAAAGGGGGAAATGTTTAGGCTAAGATCAAATATTTTATTGAAATAAAATAAAAGAAGTTAAACACATGAAGGAATCTATCTGAGCATCCTATGGATAATATCTGATCTTTTTTAAATCTTAGTGCTGATGGTTACTGAGAAAATTCATGCTTAGGAAATCAGAGAAAATAAACAAAAGAAGCTTTAAATTGCAGGTAGAGAAATCTTTTGGTCAAATAACAGACTGATGTGTAAAATAAAAGCAAAGAATAAATAATATCAAGGAATTATTTTTCCAACCTTAAGATAATGTTTAAAATGTGGTCCTAATTTGTGAAAAAACAATAAGATAAAACAAAAATGCAAATATAAAAAAACAAAAACAAAGATGAACACAGGAATGCATTGAGAGTCAAACGTCGAAGGCCAAATTATTATTATATATATATATTTTTTTTTTTTTTTCAATTTACCAGCATGGAATTTATTTTGATGTATTTATAGGAAGTTTCATGAATACAGTTTGGATTGAAATAACTAAAGTAGAAACAAACAGAGGCAAGGATCATTTACCTCTACTCAGCTGGAGTGCAAACTCATTAGATAATTATATATCAAAATAACAAAGGCTCTCAGTTTAAAGTTAGATTCACTTCATAATCTCTTCCATATTTTTTATGGTTTAAAAGACAAAGAAAATTTAAATTTGAACTTCTAATATTCAACTCTAAACACAATTACTTATTTCAGCAAAGATTAACATTAAATGTGAGAATTTTCTCTATATCTGCTTATTTTAAGATATCTTGGTTGTTTTATATTTAGCTTCATGTTGTAGTGAAAGACGTACCTTCAGTCTGAATATTCTCATATCCACTGTCTGGAGATGCTTCACTGTATATTGTGTTTGTTGTATGATCCAAGAGCTCCTTCATGTTGGAAGATTTCTTAAGAAGAAAGCAGCTGGAGGAAGCAGCAATATGTTTTCGATCCGTGATGAAAAAAAGTAAAGAGATGATCACAATCTCTGTTTAACCAATCATGTTGTAACAGGAAGGACGCAGGATGTTGTGGTAGAAAAACATCGACATAGACAAAACTTTATCTTTGGAGAGAAAAGCACGTATCTTTTGCTTAACATTTTTTTTTTACTAATTATTTACTAAGTATTTACTAATTAATTGAAATAAAGAAAAATCTTTAAACTTAAATGCCATATACTGAGGCAGTTGAATACCCCGTAAGATGCACAAACATGCATAGATTCACGCCAAACTTGGCAATCTTTACTATAATCAAAGGATAAATAACAGTTCCAAATTTGGCTACAATTGCTATAAAACTTTTTGAGATACAACAATTTCCTGTTAACACAAACTTTTGAAAAATCAGAGTGACGGACTTTTAAGAAGAGCTATGCTGTGTTTACCATCAAACAAGAAGCAATGAAAGGAATATATTCCAAAAGTCGTAGCTTTTTTGAGAAATCGACTGATTTTTTAGAAATATTTTAACA